GATTAGAGAGAACTGAAGTCCTCGTGTTGGTTGAAATGACCCGTCATGGCCTAAAATAAGAGTCCAGCGTTCCTGCCTTTTTTCTCAGGCCTGTGCAAGACCTGCTTTGAGGCTGTGACTCCTGTTTCTTCACTCGAGGTGACCCCTACATAATTCATAATTAATTCACCAGATAATTCAGAGACATTCTGAGTTTCATCACCCAGGAGCTGCGGGAGAGGCTCACAGCTCGCTTTCAGGACTATTTTTGTCCCGAGTCCAGTCTGATGAGCCGCTGCCACGCATTGGTGCGGATATCTCCTGTCAGGACACCGACTGCAGGCACTCGATTTCAGCTAAAGAGCTCCTGTTTCAGGTTAGTGGACATCATTCAGTAAACTGTCCCGTCAGGAAATATGTCACTACGTCACACAGTGGAGTCTCTCTGATTGGTTGACGCGGCGTGTCGAGCTGCAAAAGTTAAGATTTTCTAACTTCAGCGATTTGCGCCTCAAGCACGTCGAACGCTCAGATCGTTCAAATGGTGCTGCTCTAATCGCACTTGAGGCGCCMCAGCACTTCCCGACGCTGATTGAAGCACGTCCACCATAGACTTTGCATGTAAACCTGATGCTCCTGACGCTGAAATCGCGTTTGGTGTGAACGCACCATTACTTTACAAACTTTGATTAGTCACCTGAAACACACTTTGAACCGAAACATGAGGAAAAACAGAAAATGTGAATGGTGGAGAGAAATCTACTCAGCAGAGAATCCACGATGCTCTCAGTCAATCTGTTCCTGACGAGGGACAAAGTAAGAGCTGGAGGGAGATGAGGCCGTGGCATATTGTGTTATTAAAGATATGCAGCCACTCCACATTGTGTAAAAGTGGGTTTCAATTCATAGCTTACTTTTTTAACCTGTTAAAATGAAGAAGTTTGTTTGACTGGTTTGTAAGTATAATTTTAGAACACAGTCAAAAACATGCAAGTGCAATTGTCATCTATTAAGCGTCATGTTAATTATTATTGGCTAATTGTCACAATTAATCTGGATTCCTATTTTTACCAATATCACCCAAGCCTACTGGCAATCCATCTGAACTCAAGGCTTGTTCGCCTCAGGGTGAATTCTAAAGCTTCTTCTTCACTGTCAAGTCTCCCTCTAATGCAGAGTTTCCCAACTCTGGTCCTCAAGGCACATTGTCCTGCATGTTTTAGATGTTCCCCTGATTCAGATGACTGCAGTTCAACAAAAGCATGTTAATCAGTTTATCAGTTGAAATCAGCTGTGTTGAAGCAGGGGAACATCTAAAACATGCAGGGCAGTGTGCCTTGAGGACCAGGGTTGAAAAACACTAATCACTTCATGTATGTTTGATGGAGGGCAGATGGTCAGCACTCGGCTCATCTGCTAGTCAGACTTCTTTTTAAAAATAATTTCTTGCAACACTGTTTATAAATGTGTAACTGTGGGCATCCAGTTTGTCTGAAACCTCCTGGTATACCTGCTCATTTCAGACCCGTCTACTTCATATCTCTCCAGAAAGACTTAGCAAGTTCCACCATGGCTCAGTTGACTGGCGGGCAGTACTCTGCAGACGTCAAATCACTTATGTGCAATACTTGGCTTGACTCGTCTGGAACCACTGCTGAGGTGGATCCAAAAGCYCATTTGGAACTGGAAATGGGAGGAACATTTGGCTGACGCTGAATCGATGAGGATGGGTTAAAGGCAAACCAGTGGAGAAGGGGCTTAATTGGACCAAGGTAGTAACAGAGCTGAACCGGTCCACATGTGAAAGCCAGTGCCACAACTCAACAATAGCTACGTTTACATGGACATAAGCAACTGGATTAAATAGCCATTCGGAATAAAAATGTATCATGTACACACCGGAGCCGATTCAGTGCGATCCGAATTAATTTGTAATCGGAATGAGAGAGGTGGTTTATGCCAATTGATAATCCGAACAGCATGCATGTAAACACTTAATCTGATCATCTTATTCTGATTGTGGAAAAGTGATCTGACTGCGCATGTCTGCTGACTTTCATCCAGCGGTTTCTGCTCTTTTGTGGAGGGAGGAGCAGCAAGGCTGCAGTTTCCAGCAGCACAGAACTTTTCCTCCCGTTTTCTCATTCAGCTAGATACCGCATATCGGTAACATAATGACGAACAGTACGAAAACAATATGACTCCCGCTTACGCTTCGCCTGCGCCGCTTCGCAAAAAAAAGTTTTTTTTAAAGTCCGCAAGTCACCTGCAGCTGAACCAGAGAGTACAGTAACGTCTCCACCATTATTAAAACCTGTCGCGGGTCCATTCTGAGCTCAGAAGCTGTTTGTTTGTGTTCATGACGAAAGTAAAACTTTTTTCTTTTTTTTCTTTTCTTTTTTTTTAGGGAAAGTTAGCAACTGCGCATGTCAGTGCTTCTATTTTGAATAAAAGCCTGGTGCATGTAAACACTCGTCATGATCGGATTGTGCCCATGCAAACGATACATTCCGTTTATTTAATCTGAATACTTTTCAATCCGATTAAAGAATTTTGCGCATGTAAACATAGCTAATGTGAGGAAGTGATGACGTCTGATCCGTGCAACCATTCGGCAGCAAGATTCAATAACAACAAACAAATTTATTACAGAGGGAAGATCGATGACAACACAAATAAACTCTGTGTATAGTTAAAAAGTTAACTAACTACAAAGAGAATCGCTAAATCAAGTTAAATCATTATGTTTTGAAAATATTAAGGAGGAGACGTTTGCTCCACGCCTCTTTTTGTTCAGCGATGCTCGCCTCTTTTCTGAAAACTCAGATCTCTGCAGGATGCAAACAGAGGCAGACAGTATAAAGACAGACTGGTCTGTGTGGCCATATCCCAGATCTGTTTTATGAAAGAGCCTTTAGTGTCACAATGTCCAAATAAACATAAACTGAAAATGTTCCTCAAATAGCGGTTTGTTGTTGTTTTAGCATGTCTCGTATCTCTTGATCACTCACAGTTATTATTCTTCATATACATCCACATCTCCTTCTCCTCTTGGCTGTGGGCGAACGTGCAATTCCCGGTGTAGTTACATTTCCTCTTTTCCAGAATCTGAGCACACATCTGCCCGAAAAGAACATAAAGTCATTACATACAGATCACAGCTGGTAAAAACAGGATAAAACATGAAAAGGTCACTGCAGGTGTGAGATCAACGATGAAACCTGCAAAACTGTATTTAATGGATGAATTTTTTCACATTTAAAGGAGACCAATTATGGGTCCTAGAAATTTTTATGGTATGTCTGTGGGCTATCCAGACCATGTTCATTCAATTTAATGCACAAAATAATTCTCAGATAATAAAATTTCCCATTTTCTAGTTCTGCCCGCGCTGACTTCCGTTCAGAAGAGCTGTTTATGTTAATGAGCTCTGTTGGTAACGCCCTCCAAAAATCTGTTGACATTAACTCCGCCCTCCAAAAATCTGTTGACATTAACTCCGCCCTCCAAAAATCTGTTGACATTAACTCCGCCCTCCAAAGCCAGCATTTATGTTAGCATGGCTAATAATAGCAGAAGCTCCGTTGTACAACCATATGAGACCCTGTGTGAGACCCAGAGGCAGAGTCGGTTGCAGCTTCTTTTTTTTCCTCCCTCCTCTGCTCTGCGCTCACTCTGCATGCTGTTACCAGAGCAGGGAGCAGCAGCAGCAGTCAAAATACCTCAGAAACTCGAACAAATAGGCTTTAACAAGGCTTTAATAAGCTAGACTATAAAGGTACATGAGAAAATGTGTTCATAACGAACGAAAATAAAAAAATTATTAAATTGTGTCCGTGCCAGTCTTGAACCCTGGTTTCCTGCTCTCTGGTCTAACACTCTACCCATTGCCCTATTGGAGACTTGTTGTGAAAATGAGCTGCACATTACACAACAACAACCGTGACGGTTTTTTATATTGAGGAGGTGGAGTCTCACCCAGGGGTTGCTAGGTAAGGGGCTGAACGCAGGTTCCGGTGGGTTGTCGTACGGCTTGTGACGTCACAAAATAATGGAAGTATAAAACTTGTCGTTAATGTACATTAAAAAACATTTACTTACAGTAAATGTGCCCCTGGGTGCATTTTTTGGTCCTAGGACTGTTTTTTAAGAAGTACATACCCAAAGTTGAGTAAAAAAAACTTAAAAAGTGAATTTTGCATAATAGGTCCCCTTTAAGCCTGTTCTGAGCCCCCAACCTTCTCCCCACTTTTTATTTTAAATCAAATATTTAAATGTAGGACAGCCARAAAACACCTGATCTTTTCAAAGCACAAGAGGAAGAACCCATGTTCAGGTGTGGGAAATGAGAGGAAGCACACCTACATCATAATACAGAGGGTAGTTCTTGGCGTGGGGCAGCGGTCGGACCTGCACCCATTTACTCCTCTCTGAGGATTTTACCAGCAGGACTCGTCTGTCTTTAGTCCACCTGAGGAGAAAACCATTTACTTAATCCAATTAATTAATCTACTGAATTACATCACACAGTTTTATCAGTCAGGTTTGAGATAAATTAGAAAACGTCAAATTTAAGAATCATTTCTGCAAATAAACGTGTACAGAATTATATGACTCATTAAAGTTTCCCTCACGCATGTCTGGCTTTGGCATTGCAGTATTTGAGGGCCTTGTCTGGTTCACTGATCAGGCCGTCCCGCCAGCAATGAGCGCATGCAAACTTCATCTTCATGTTCAAATTCTTCCCGGCACCTCCTCCTCCTCCTTTTGATTTGCTTCCACCTCCTCCAGCAGACAGCTGCATGCAAAGAAATGATAAGTGCCAACATAAACAACWAAATGTTAGCTTAAAATAATATTTGTGTTACTCTATAGTAACAAGTTAGTCAAAGGCATACTATAATTAATGAAAATACACTCACTGGCCACTTTATTAGGTACACCTGTCCAACTGCTCGTTAACACTTAATTTCTAATCAGCCAATCACATGGRGGCAACTCAGTGCATTTAGGCATGTAGACATGGTCAAGACAATCTCCTGCAGTTCAAACCGAGCATCAGTATGGGGAAGAAAGGTGATTTGAGTGCCTTTGAACGTGGCATGGTTGTTGGTGCCAGAAGGACTGGTCTGAGTATTTCAGAAACTGCTGATCTACTGGGATTTTCACGCACAACCATCTCTAGGGTTTACAGAGAATGGTCCGAAAAAGAAAAAACATCCAGTGAGCGGCAGTCCTGTGGGCGGAAATGCCTTGTTGATGCCAGAGGTCAGAGGAGAATGGGCAGACTGGTTCGAGCTGATAGAAAGGCAACAGTGACTCAAATAACCACCCGTTACAACCGAGGTAGGCAGAAGAGCATCTCTGAACACACAGTACGTCGAACTTTGAGGCAGATGGGCTTCAGCAGCAGAAGACCACACCGGGTGCCACTCCTTTCAGCTAAGAACAGGAAACTGAGGCTACAATTTGCACAAGCTCATRGAAATTGGACAAGAGAAGATTGGAAAAACGTAGCCTGGTCTGATGAGTCTCGATTTCTGCTGCGACATTCGGATGGTAGGGTCAGAATTTGGCGTCAACAACATGAAAGCATGGATCCATCCTGCCTTGTATCAACGGTTCAGGCTGGTGGTGGTGGTGTCATGGTGTGGGGAATCTTTTCTTGGCACTCTTTGGGCCCCTTGGTACCAATTGAACATCGTTGCAACGCCACAGCCTACCTGAGTATTGTTGCTGACCATGTCCATCCCTTTATGACCACAATGTACCCAACATCTGATGGCTACTTTCAGCAGGATAATGCGCCATGTCATAAAGCTGGAATCATCTCAGACTGGTTTCTTGAACATGACAATGAGTTCACTGTACTCAAATGGCCTCCACAGTCACCAGATCTCAATCCAATAGAGCATCTTTGGGATGTGGTGGAACGGGAGATTCGCATCATGGATGTGCAGCCGACAAATCTGCGGCAACTGTGTGATGCCATCATGTCAATATGGACCAAAATCTCTGAGGAATGCTTCCAGCACCTTGTTGAATCTATGCCACGAAGAATTGAGGCAGTTCTGAAGGCAAAAGGGGGTCCAACCCATTACTAGCGTGGTGTACCTAATAAAGTGGCAAGTGAGTGTATATACAATATCCTGAAACAAATGAATAAGATGAGCTGAATGACTAATGGATAATGACTGTTAGACATTTTTATTGACTGTATACAATAATTATTTACCTTTCTACCTATATTATTACTTAGAAGTGTTTTGATATTTTACAATCTATTCAAGACCAAAATTTGTTATTAAAAAAAACGTAAAAGTTAAGCAAAGATGATACAACGTATGCAGTAAATGAAATATTTTTAAAAAGTTAAACGAATAAATCAGAGAAAATAGGTAATTTCTAAAGGAAAAAAATATAGTTTTTACTCGTTTTTCTTTTTCCATCTTGAAAGTCTGCTCCTGGTCGTGATACTTCATGGATACTTTCACAATCTCATCATGACTGATACCTGAAATTAAAACCTTTTTAAATTGTGTTTTTAAATTAATTGGCCACATATCTACACAATAAATTACTGCTTTRTTTGGCAATTTAATTTGATTCAGTTCCTCAGCTAAATAAAAAGATGAAAACAACCCAGACATAAAAACAATACGAAAAATATATCAGTAAAAATATGTATGTATTTTCTTTTTTAAACATCCTGAGGTTATGGAGCAGCATTATTCAGAGATTTGTTCTGTTTRGGTCCATTTAATCCATCTAAACACTGCTTTAAACACTGGTTGTGTCTTCATTAAAATGGCTAAAATTAACAGGGAAATCCTCACAACTCCTGTTGAACTATGAATGCAGCTTTATACTGAACAAGTTATGTGAACAGTTTCCTCCCTGATAAATTAATTTATTAAAAGGTAGAAATTTATGTTCAGGCGTTTTATTAGATTTCTCAGTTTTTTCCCCTCCAATACTAAACAAATCCCAGTTCTTTCTTAAAATAAACTCAGTGCAGACATTATGTGTGATAAGACCACACCTGTGTGCTGCTGAACCCTCCAGGTTTTAAGCTCTATGACGGAGTGAGCGAACTGGCAGCTGTCCTCGAGCTGGCAGCCGTACTTTATGGCATGGCGGCACAAATCCAGGTGGCACAGGGCGCTGAGGGGACGGACCTTCCTGTAGTTAATATTGTGGGTCCTCACCACAAACGCCAGGCACCTGACAGGAAGATGGGAGGGCAGTTKCAGTGGTTAAGATAGAGAAAAACAAGTTTATTAAAGCTAAAATAAAGACYGATGACTCACTTATTAGCATCAAAGTTGTGACGGACGTCTAAGTTGGAACAGATGGTCTGATCATCAATGAATCGCTTACTGATGATTCTAGGTTTACTGTCGTAGCATTTCTACAAAAAAACAGAGAAAAAAACAAGACAAACTGGTCAATCTACATATATAAAGTCAGTCAGAATACGGCTTATCAGCAGACTGCAGCCTGTTGATTCTCCAGAGTGCGACGTCAATCACTGCATTCAAAAATTCAAACAGAGCCAGATCAAAACCAGAGAAATGAACCCGATTTATGGGCTTTGACTGACAGGGAAGACAGCCTTGACTGAGGACAGAAGTTATGCAATTTTCTGTTACTCAACAGTGTGAGATATACGTACGACTTGAAGTATAAACCAGCTTGGAGGAGACAATGCTCACACTAACCTGGCAGAGGTAGATGAACATGCCCTTGTTTTCCTGTAGGAGCTGAATGATGCTGCTCCTGGGGTCTGGTTTGGCCTCTGACTTCTTAAACAGGAAGTTTCTGTCCAACGTCCCTTTTCTCTCTGCTGTCCAAACGTCGATCTCCAGCTGGTTGTAGGCAAARGTGCATCTTTCTCCGTACTTACACACACCCAAATCTCCAGATTTTATCAGCTCTGGATGTGTGAGAAAACGACACCAACAGATTGATCACAACTTGAAATTATCTTCACAGCAACTTTACAAGTTACAAGTCATGAAGCAACTAGCARGATCTCTCTGTACTTGTCTGCTAGTTCAGACTGACAGATTTTAAATATAATTTTGTCTTTTTGTTCTTGCTGTTCTTACCTCTACAAAGTACAAACTGTCCAAAGAAAGTGTTGGTAGGAATCGGACGCACTCTGGTCCATTCTGAAGCTTCTTTTAGTCTACATAATAAAATGTCCTGCTTACAGCTGTGGACAAGGTCCGGCTTGTGAACAAAACTATACACCCCGACACCTAAAGAATACATCTCACAATCAGCAAACTGAAGAAGAAAGAATCCAGAAGAATATTTGCTTCTGTCTGACAACCAGCAGGTTCTTTTTAGTTTTACTAGTTTCGTACCTTTTCGAGGGTAACAGAGGGAACAGGCCTGCAGGAACTCATGTGTGTCAGACAGAGGATTAGCAACTGTACCAGACACATGACTGTCCACCACCTGGAGCCCACAGTAAGAATTAGACTTKCATTAAAGTTAACAAAACACACAATGCAACAGTACTGAAGAAAACATAACCAGTCTTACTTTGAAGTGATTTATAGGGGATTTGGTTACAGGAGCAGCAGCGACGTGAGATTCTGAGAAACCTGAGGAGTGAGGACAAAACAAGTGATAAAACAGCACCGAGACAACTCWGCTGAAAGCTACAAACACTGGAACAGACATTTGATCATCCTACATTTAAAAAAAGGTTAGGAGTTACACTTTGAAACGTTTATTAGTTTGGTTGAGTCAGATAAATCTTTCAGACATGTGACTCATRACATAGAACCTAGGATTAAGTTACAAGGTAAAGTAGTGAAATATAGGCAGCTATAAAGCATTGTTTTAAAAATTTGCGTTAATTGTATTTTGTCAAAATGTGGTGATAATGGGCTCCTTAAAGTGATCCCTGATTAGTTATAATATTGATAAACATTTATTTTAACTGTAAAATAAAAACTGTAAAAATACTGTAGGCTGTTTAGTTTTGTAAATTTTTATGAAGTATATTTTAACACAGACAGAGCCATTTTATTTACACACAAAYCATTCTAGGTAAATGATGATGTGGATAGGTCCTCGGTGTGAGCGAGCTATATCCACCCTGAAGGTTATTCTTGGACAATATCTGAAGATTGGCTCTTTTAAATGAAACCAGAGAGCGTTGACAGAGAGGAGAAGYTAGAAATGACTCAGCCTGTAACTGAAAATATGGATGGAGGACAACAGAGCTGCTTCATGGAAGAAGAACCTCAGCTTAGCCTGTTAGCCTTTGTGCTAGCGCCGACGCTATATTGCCTTACATGTATTAGCTAAAGCTAAACTGTTGTCCTCCATCCATATTTTCAGTTGCAGGCTGAGTCATTTTTGCGTTCCCCTCTCTGTCATGTGGATGGAGGACCTCAGTGACAAGAGGAGAATGTGTAGCGCTGAGCTAATACAAATATATGGTGATAGCACCGTGGCTAACGCTAAAGCTAACAGGCTAAGCTGAGGTTCTTCTTCCATGAAGCAGCTCTGTTGTCCTCCATCTATCTTTTCAGTTACAGGCTGAGTCATTTCTACCTTCTCCTCTCTGTCAACACTCATTTCAAAGAGATAATCATCAGATATTGTCCAAGATTAACCTTCAGGGTGGATATAGCTCGCTAGCAGCCTCGCACCGAGGACCTATCCACGTCATCATTTACCCAGAATGCTTTGCATGTAAATAAAATGGCCCCGTCCGTGTAATATATTTTTAAACTTTGTTTAAAACCCAGAGCCCCCAGGTCGTCAGGGACAGGCCTGCTCTCTGTTCCCAGGGTCAGAACCAAACACGGAGAGGCAGCCTTCAGTTTTTATGCTCCTCAGATTTGGAATAAACTTCCTGAAAACTGCAGGTCAGCTGAAAATCTCAGCACTTTTAAATCAAAGTTAAAGACAATTCTGTTTGCCGCTGCCTTTCCTTAGATCAGAGAACTGTTATGATCCTGCGCCTGTCTGCCCTGTCATGCCCATTTCCTGCTCCTGTCAGTCTCGCCCTGCTCATTGCCTCAGCCCCTCCCGTCACAYAAATCCCAATCACACTCATTTCACTCACCTGTGTCCCTCAGTATTTAAGCTCCACTCCTCCACAGCTTCAGTGCCTGATTATCGAACGGTTCCACCTAGTAAATCTTCTAGCCATCCCTTGTCAAGTCACGTCTGTCTGGTCTCGATCCTGCTCCTGGTTTCTGGTTTTTCGTCTCCTGCCTCGCCCCCATCTGATACCGCCGCTGCTTCTTACTTCTTGGTTCTGACCCACGCTCTGACTCCTGGATCCAAGCCTCCTGCCTCACCCCCGTCTGACATCGCCGCTGCTTCTGTCTACCTGGTTCTGATCTACGCTCTGTCTCCTGGATCCAAGCCTCCTGCCTCACCCCCGTCTGACACCGTCGCTGCCTTAGTCTTCCTGGTTCTGATCCACGCTCTGTCTCCTGGATCCTCGCCTTTCGTCACCCCTGTCTGGTGACGTCATCCAAGGTATTTCCCCGACAGTGCCGCTCGCTAGGAGGACTCCGGTCACGCAAGTCTGCTCCACTTTTTCAATAAACTGTTTAAATCTTCTCTGGTGTGTGACAAATTTTGAAACTCAAAAAGCCCATTCATAACAAGAACTGCAGATTTTGTGCACTGCTGCTTTTATCTGTTATTTTATCTGTTATTTTTAATGTATTTTATTTGTTTTATATTATTGTGTTTTATTTTTATACATGGTATTCACTATGCTGATACCTTACTTTTAATGTTTTATGTAAAGCACTTTGAGTTGTCTTGTACATGAAATGTGCAATATAAATAAACTTACCTTACCTTACCTTAAAAATGATAAAAACTAAACAGCCTACAGTATTTTTAGTCTTTATTTTACAGTTAAAATACATGTTTATTAAATAAAGTCTAATGTTACAACTAATCATGGATCCCTTTAAATTATAAGTCTCAACACTGTTCTGAAGCACTTTTCTGAGCAGTACCGACAACAATGATTTTAGGCTGAAAAGTCATGCATTTTTGCTAATTCCCTGTGTGCTAGAAAAGCTAATTTCAACAGCAGCAGGGAAATCCCCATTATCTAAATAAGGTTTGAGCTTTTCTCTTTCAAATGATGATGTCAAGAAATCCTCATTAGAATACACAAAAATAGGCTTTAGAAAATTAGACAAATCAAGCCATATGTCTGGAACTGCTCATGACATCAGAATGATCGAGGTATCAAAATGTAGCTTAAATCTGAAAATATTTATTTCATTTTGACCAAATCTGAGTTTATTTGATTTGATGTGATGAGTATCAATGTAAACAAAGAAAAATTGAAACAATTTAAGTATCTTTTACCATTAATTGTACTGTTTTTCAAACACCTAGTCTGAACGTAACATAACTTACGTAACTAAATATGTCAGTGAGTAATAAAATAAATTATTTTAGGCATGCCTATTTTACCACATAAGCTGTTCTGAAACTTAGAAAATGCCCTCCTGACTTCAAAACAAACCAATAAAACATCAATATTTTATTTACTGTTATTTAACCAGGCAAATCCCACTGAGAATATATTATGGTTACCGTTTGTGCTGAAGTCAGAAAGCGTGTCCAAGCCTAAACCTCTGACTGAAACTGCTGCCGGAGTTGCTCCAACATCTTCCACTGTGGAGAACGAGTCCAAGCAATCCAGAGAGTCGAGCTGCTTCGTGGCTTCAATGTCGACCTTAACAACGTCACCGCTCCCACCGTTTACATCAGAAACAGCCTCAATCGTGTCTATTTCATCCAGCAAATCGAGGGAAGCTCCTCTGGCATTCACATCTGGTTTAGGCTGAATGATCTCAGCAGCTCTTGGTGTATTGTCCAGAATATCATCAAGGGAGTCGAGTGAGTCAAGGCCATCCAGAGTATCCAGTATTGAGGAGTTCTGCGTGACGTTTAAAGCGTCTGCAGCGTCTCCGTTTCCAGAGGTGTAGAGGTCATCCAACATATTCAGAGTTGGGGAAGGGGTGCCGTTATTGCCAGTTGAAAAGGAGTCCAGGGAGTCGAGTTGGCTGAGGGTTGAGCTGAAGAAGGCAGGGGGCAGCTGGGGCGTTGGAGCAGGCAGGACAGGTGGAGCGGAGTGAACGAGCGGCCTACTGGAGTCGGAGAATGCTGCCTGAACGTGGGGAGAAATTTAAACAGGCTTGAGTGTTGTTGGCATTCATGGCTAACAATCTGTTCCTTAGAGTGCACTTGTTACTATCTTTACATAAACCTTYGATCAAGTGACAGAACACACCATAAACATGTCTGAATACAAGCTTCCTGTTACCTTCTCAGATACAGTATATGATGAAAAATAATCAAACAACAAACCTTTAATCACATGTAAGGAGGGGAAAAAAGCACAGTGTACCTCAGTTAGTCCTTGTTCAGGTGGAAAACTGTCGAGCAGGCTGTCCAAGTCATCTCCCATCACTTCAGAGTCCTCCAGCCTGTGAGGAACCYCGGAGCTGGGTGGAGGGGTGGAGGGAAAAGGGGGTTCAGGCACACCTGGGAAAGCCACTATGGAGAAGCAGGAGAAATTTAATTTAGATCATCCTATCTTATTCAACCTGTATTTATTCATCTCAAACATATCTCACAATGTAAAAGCAATAAATACACATTTTGACTAAATTATTGATTAAAAAATATATCTCACCTGATGCAACAACACTCAAAGGATTCACACCATTTCCTAAATTATTATGAGACACCTGAAAGGGAAACATAAGGCAAATTATTAACAAAACAACATCTAGAAGTACTTTCAACTGAACAAAAGTCTCAACATTTGGGTGAATAATGAATATATGTTATAAACTATTAGAAGAGGGAATTGTTTTCTTTAGGTAATTCCTAATTAACAACTTTTTGGGAACTGTACTTGTGTTATTTTCTAAATAAACTGTAAAATTATAATAACAACAGGATAATAAAGTAAAGTCTGTATAATGCCTGCAGGTATGGTGGACATTATGACATCCTATAGATTCTGTGGAAAATAACCACTTTTTATTTTAAGGWCTTATATATCATAGCAGTAGTGAGTCTATTGTAGACTTGATCCTGTGTTTGAGATCAGAGTCCTGTTGCGTAATCCAGTTTTGTTTGAGCTTCAGCTGTTGGACAGACAGTCTTAATATTTGATTCTGGTAAACAGAGAGGTTCAGGGTGGAATATTATATTATATTATTGGATTGGTCATCACTTGACTTATCGTGCACCACACAGGTACCATTGCTATGCATTGAGTTTTGACTCGGGAACATCCATGAATGGTGGTAAAAAAGGGGATGCAGCAGACAGTCATGGCAGGAATATCAAAAAGGGATGCAATATTTTGCAGTAAATTGTCAACACTACAACAACAAGATCACAAGATCAAGGTTACCACATTTTACAGGTCATTAAAATATATTTTATTTTAAAAAATGTCGGAGATGCGGAAAGTAGGTCAGTTATGCTAGCTTGATCTTGACAACATTATATCTGGTAAACCAACGAGAAGACAAATTTGCTCTTCCAACAAATTATATTTTTATTAATATTGTTATTATGTTAGGAAAACATTGTGAGAGGTAAATATAATGGATAACAGTAAAATTACCTTTACTACTACRAGGCTGAACTGTGTAGATATTACTGGTACTGATGTTCTGTCCAGTCAGCATATGGTATATCCTGRAGTTTGTGATTATATATCAGAGTAAAAAACTCTATAACTTTTTTTTCCTCCACCGTATATTTCATAAGCTAAGCGGTGGAGTGGCCGACCGCATTTATTTTATGACCAGCTGGAGGAATTTGTCTTTAGTCACTTCAGCACGAATGAAGAACCAGGAAACAAATGCAAAATTAGAATTATATATATATGACACACATGACTCTTAGTTTTATGTGACGGAAAGGGGCTTCTACTGTAAATACGTTAGCAACAAACCTATAATGAAAAGTTCCCAGACAGCTTGTAGATTTATGTCTTGAGCAAATACATATTTTATACAAATCACAACATCTGTAATTTTCTCAGCTTTAATTTAAGCCATATTGTATAGAAATCGGATGAGAAATGAGGGTGCTATGAATATATGCATCCCACATTGAAACTCTACCGTTTTGTTGACATGACTCAATGCATAGCAATGGCTCCTATGACGGCGTGTCGCTAGCTATAGCGGCTATAGGTGATGTCCAATCCAGTAATATAGATCAACGGACTCACTGACTGTAAGGAGCTCAGGTCCTGTGGTGGTAAACCAAGCTAAAATCATCACCCCTCCACCACCCTGCATGGTGGTAAAGCGTTTGTGCTGAATTACTATGTTTGGTTTTTGCCTAACATGGTGCTGTGCATTAGTGCTGTGCATTATGGGTAAACATCTCTACATTGGACTCATCTGTTCATGATTATTGAAATGCCTCTTTGCGGACATAAACTGGGCTTTGTTTCAGAAAGAAACTTTCCCCTAAAAACTCTTTATTCAAGCCATGCAGAGTCTGATTTGTTTCGACTGTTCTGTCATGAACTGAAACGTTTAACCTGCTAACTGAGGCCTGTAGAGTCTGAGATGGATCGTGCTTTTTTATTTTCTTTGAGCATTGCTCAGTCTTCCCTAGGGGTTAATTTGTTGGGACATCCACTCCTGGAAGGCTTCACGGCTGTCTTCAATGTACTCCAATTACAAGATGACATTGAACCCTTCCCAGATTGATGAGCAGCAAATCTTGGCTCATTAAAGCCATTTCCACCATGGCATTGTGAGAAGACACACCTGTCTGCTCCAGAGCAGCAAACAGACCAAACCCCTGCTTTTATAGAGGTGATCACACTGATGATGATCATTTAATTAAGACATTTATTCAGCTGCACCTGGCCTTAGTTTTTCATACACAGCGTTAGCGTTGTGACTTAGTTCTAGTTCAATAAATGACACAAAATGTAATTWGTCATTGTTTATCTAAAGTCAAATTTCCCTCATTTTAGATCCAAGCAAGAACAAAATGAATATTAAGACATCGTGATGCATAAAACTTTTAAATGTGATGTTTTACATAAAAAATATTTTAATTTCTTTGCCCTGATGTTTATATTATAAAATTAATTTCTTTAATATTTTTAGGCCCTAATCTTCCTTTGCATTCATTCTACATCGTTCTATCATAAGTGATAAAGTGAAATAAGTATTTTAAAATTTAACAATATATGCTTGATAAATGAAAATGACAAGTGAAACTTTAATTTGCCTATATATATATAAAGATTTTGAAAATGATATTTTTTCCTTAATGGTAAAAAGAAAAACTTTGCTTACCTTTGAGCTGATGTAGGGTTTTCGTATTTTCATCCCCAGCTGGGTAGCTAACTCCTGTGAAAGTTCATTCACCTGTTTATCCTGTTAAAAGTCAAATAAACAAAACCAGTGTATGAGCTGAATTTAAAAAGACTCTCAAGGGAATAATCAGAACCAGTGAGTCAAAAGAACCAYTTTAGATCTTTGCAGCCTTTTTAAACACTTGTTAGCGTCCCAGCCTGTGTCCTGCGCTCACCTGAGGGTTACTGAGCAGACAGATGGAGGTGCAGTCGTACGCCTCCTTGTACTTGCCGAGCTCTTTCAGACACAGAGCCTTCCTGTACAGAGCTCTGCGGCTCTCCTTGCACACCTCCAGAGCGCTGTTACAGTCCTCGATGCCTTGATCATACTTTCCCTTTTTTTAAAACAAGAGAAAACAGACGGCATGGTGAAAGAGACGTGAAGGAGCCTGAAAATAATGCAACAATGTACAATAAAAACAACATACAGATGGTACTTTTTAAAACTGTTAGTGTGGTTGTTTGAAAGCAGGTTTAGGCTCAGTGACCTTGTAATGGAAGATTTAGTGATGGTCACATTCTTTTAGGAGCAGTAAATCAGACACAAAGGCACAATAATTCAGGCTGAAGGAGAAAAATAGGCAGAAAAGAATTCAAATTATTTAGTGCAGGAATAAGTGCAGGCAGCCCAGCTGTCCCTTAAAACCTTCTCTATTAAGCCTCATCTTAACACCGTTGAGTTTTAAAGTGCTCATAACTCTGTAGTGAAACTAAAATTAACAAAAATATTCACTCCCAACATCCCCAACATTGACATTAGAAAACTAATAGTAATATTTACAAATATTAGTATAAAACTAGGTGTGGTAAAACATACTATGAGTCCAAACGCATTCTGAAATATCTTGACATTAACTTTTGCAGTCATTCAACACAATTTAAGTTAGCCACTCAGCTACACAATAATAACATGGTTTTTCAGCTATTAATCCAAGTGTTGATGGGATAGTAGAGAAAGCATCATTCCCAACACATACTTGGAGTGTTAACACATCATGTAGGATCTTGTGTGTGACTGTGCAAAACGTTGTTACAATTGGCATCATTTCTCAACAGAAGACGATCCTAATTTAAAACTCTAGCATGAACGTTGGCAGGCCATGTGCATTCCTTCAAGAACAGTTAGAGCTTAAAGAACAATTAGCATACAAACAGAATCAGATTTTGGCACAGAGAGAAAATGATCATGGAGGTTAGCACCAGTACTATGCATATTCTGGTCTTCAAACTTATTATGTATCAGAAACAAGAACAATTCAAAGGAAGGAAGGAAAGTGAGGGCAACAGTGGTAGGAAGAGAACAACTCTCTCTGAATATCATGTGAAAGAATCAAGCTCTAACATGTGGTGTGGAATGGAAGGGATTATTTGAGGTAATACACAGTCGGTCATTAATTGACAAAACAGAAAAAAAAAAGTCCATCTTTCGGTTTCAAATTGTCGCAGCTCAAACTACACCCTTGTTTACAGGTGTGGTGAGGGTGGATGAAGACAATAACACTGTAGTGATGTACCATCAAATACTTTTAAATTGAGATTAAAAACTGATGTGACTGGAAGTTTAATAATTTTTGTTTAATCACTCAATCGTGAGCACTTAAATATCAGCAATGACTGAGTCAACACTGGAGCTGAATGATCAGAAGTTCTTTTTGTCAAAAACCCGTTTCATTAACTCCTGACTGTCTCTGAGATGATCTGCCGGACAGGACTCTGAAACTGACCAAATACCAGCTTTAGTCTGATCAACTGTTTGTGATCAATAGCATAAAAGTACTTCTAATCAAATATTTTAGTAAATACAACCTCTGSCAAAAATTATGGAATCACCGGCCTTGAGGGATGTTCATTCAGTTGTTTAAWATTGTAGAAAAAAAGCAGATCACAGACATGACACAAAACTAAAGTCATTTCGATTGGCAACTTTCTGGCTTTAAGAAACACTAAAATAAATCAAGAAAAAAAGTGGTAGTCAGTGATGGTTAATTTTTAGACCAAGCAGAGGGAAAAAAATATGGAATCACTCAATTCTGAGGAAAAAATTATGGAATCACCCTGTAAATGTTCATTCCCAAAACTAACACCTGCATCAAATTAGATCTGCTCGTTAGTTTGCATCTAAAAGGAGTGATCACACCTTGGAGAGCTGTTGCACCAAGTGGACTGACATGAATCATGGCTCCAACACAAGATATGTCAATTGAAACAAAGGAGAGGATTATCAAACTCTTAAAAGAGGGTAAATCATCACGCAATTTTGCAAAAGATGTTGGTTGTTCACAGTCAGCTGTGTCTAAAATCTGGACCAAATACAAACGACATGGGAAGGTTGTTAAAGGCAAACGTACTGGTAGACCAAGGAAGACATCAAAGCATTAAGACAGAAAACTTAAAGCAATATGTCTCCAAAACAGAAAATGCACACAACAAAACAAATGAACGAATGGGAGGAAACTGGAGTCAAGATCTGTGACCAAACTGTAAGAAACTGCCTAAAGGATTTACATACAGAAAAGCTAAACGAAAGCCATCATTAACACCTAAACAGAAAAAAAGGTTACAATGGGCTAAGGAAAAGCAGTCGTTGACTGTGGATGACTGGATGAAAGTCATATTCAGTGATGAATCTGCATTGGGCAAGGTGATAATGCTGGAACTTTAGTTTGGTGCCGTTCCAATGAGATTTATGAAGAGGACTGCCTGAAGAGTACTTGAAAATTTCCACAGTCCTTGATGATATGGGGCCGCATGTCAGGCAAAGGCACTGGGGAGATGGCTGTCATTAAATCTTCAATAAATGCACAAGTTTACCTTAATATTTTGGACACTTTTCTTATACCATCAATTGAAAGGATGTTTGGGGAAGATGAAATCATTTTTCAAGATGATAATGCATCCTGCCATAGAGCAAAAACTGTGAAAACATTCTTTGAAAAAAGACAAACAAGGTCAATGTCATGGCCTGCAAATAGTCTGGATCTCAATCCAATTGAAAACCTTTGGTGGAAGTTGAAGAAAATGGTCGATGACAAGGCTCCAACCTACAAAGCTGATCTGGCAACAGCAATCAGAGAAAGTTGGAGCCAGATTGATGAAGAGTACTGTTTGTCACTCATTAAGTCCATGCCTCAGAGACTGCAAGCTGTTAGAAAAGCCAGAGGTGGTGCAACAAAATACTAGTGATGTGTTGGAGTCTTCTTTTGTTTCTTTTTCATGATTCCATCATTTTTTCCTCAGAATGGAGTGATTCCATATATTTTCCCTCTGCTTGGCCAAAAAAAYTAACTGTTACTGACTGCCACAATTTTTTTTTTCTTGATTTCCTTTAGGGTTTCTTAAAGCCAGAAAGTTYCCATTTGAAATGACTTTAGTTTTGTTCCATGTGTGTGATCTGCTTTTTTTCCTACAAAATTAAACAACTGAATGAACATCCTCCGGGGCTAGGAATGTGCGATATGGCAAAAAATTCATATCACGATGTACAATATGATGAGTGACGGTAACGATATATATCACGATATAAAACTTATAATAGAAAARAAATAAATCACACATTCATTGAGTGGAATAAATATGTATAGGTAAAAAAAATTTAGACCTTAAAATCTCCTTTTTTAAGGGACACTTTAAAGTCTCTCATAAAAATCTAAATTGAAGGAAGATCTACCTGGTTAAATCATATATATGTGTATATATATATATATACTGTATATGTTGTGTATCGCTGTGTGGAAATGAATGGAGAGCGAGCGACGTCGCCTCCCATGTGTCGAGCCCTTCACACATGCCGCAACGCGCGCTCCTCCCGCAGCAGGCAGTGTGGTCGGATGCGCCGTCATGTAAATATGTAAACAGTGCGGCGTTCATTTTCACACACCCGAACCACAGGTCCGGATAAGTTTTTTTCCCCTCTTCATTTGCGCTCTCAACCTCGCTGCTTCCTCTGTTTTGACTCCAGCTGGTTATGTCATCAAAAAGAATTGTGCGGTTGGCCGGTAGACTACAGATCTTTYTCATAGGACAAATTTATATAGTTTCTACCGTATATCGTTTATATCYCGCATTCCTATCTGGGGCTGGTGACTTCATTTTTTGCCAGGGGTTGTATGCCAAATGAGTCTGAGACATCACATTTCATCTGGATTCATTGTCTGGAAATCACAAATTTCTGCAGTATTTTATGACAACTCCCTGTAAGCATTTTTGCATGTCCTTGACACCCCCTGTTTGAAAGGAGCCCCCTCCTCAAAAATAGGGTGTATCGTAAAATCGTTGGCTGGCGGAGTGTAGGTCGGACTCATCTATAGCGCTGCCAAATTTCATGTTGATTGGTGCAGCCGTTTTTGTGCTACGGTTGACCAAAAATCACTGAAAATAAATAAATGAATTAACAGTACGAAAACAATATGACTCCCGCTTACGCTWCACATGCAGGTGTCATAATAAACTACAGCTTAGACAACAACTGGATCTAATTACACAATACCTGTGTTTTCATAAATTCCTTTGATCGTTAATTCTAGTTTCTGGTCATTAAAACATACATGATATGACGAAACAAGTTTACAACTATAATTATTACAGCAGACTGACTTGTATTTGACCTTTGAGCTGGATGAGTCGGCTCACGGAGAGCTTCTGCCTACAGTTTTAACAGCGCACCATCATCGGCAGTCGCTCGAAAAGGCCGAGCCTGGAGCTGCATATTTTTGTGCAGTGTGGTGCAGGATGAGTAGTTGTGGGTTGAAGGTGGACCTTTTTGGTTTTAGGCTTTGATGGCAGAGGTTGTGGGAATGTGAGCTTCTTATAGGATGCTGACATTTGTGTGTTGGTCCACTCAACTGATTCTGAGGATTACGCACACACCCACACACAAACAATAAAAACCTATCTCACCATACTGTGGCAGGCAGAAGCTCTGTTGACATACAGACTCTCCAGCAAGGCTTCTGGGATCTGGATCTCCTCTGCTTCAGCGTAGCGCGAGACATTCAAGCCCTCGGTAAATTCTCTGACAGCCTCCTCCCACTGTTTGTCTCGAAAAAAGGCATTGCCCTCCTCCAGCAGGTTGCACACTAAGCGGGTCAGAAAGTCCTGGAGGGAGGAAAAGACAAAGGAGGGAACAATTATTGACTGATAAAGTCACAATACACACTATAGCTATTCTGTGATGACAGTGCACTTCTGCAGTGAGAATAAAACAGACCAATACTTTCTCTACATTATTTACTAATTTAATAAAGATGAAACTGCTTATTTTTTATGTGGCAGCATCAACAAAAAGAAGAGTTAGAGAAAAGACATGTTAACTACTGTGACACACAGAAAACCAGGTAATTTAGGAATGTTTTTCCAATTCCTGCTAGATGTGTGTGCTGTGAGATTATAATGCATGTAAACTGAGTTTGGCATTGGGTTGCTGAAATAAGTGAAGTTACAGAGGTTTTACTGCAGACTCTTCAGGGAGCACAGGGCCTAGGAATAAAAAAAAACGTTCCGTTTAAAGGAAGTCATCTGGATGGCAGAATATACAGTATAATGTACTGCTGCAGCATCTGTGTAAATAAATAAATGTCCCCATAAATGTGCTTGTGTTCCTCCTGCCTGAGCCCAAACACACTATTATAGTCATTAGTTTTTATAGTATTACCCTTTTGCCTTCCAGGATCAGCATCCTTTATATCAAAAATTAATTTTAAAAGTGACTGTTCTGGTCTTTTAAATTGGTGATCTGTGAAAAGTTGTGAACAAACACATTTTGCCTTGTGCTGTCATCATATGTGCTCTATATGGCTTGACAGTCAGTTAAACGCCTCCTTAACATCAAGACTGAAGACAGATGACTCCTTGTCCACAGGTTTATTGACGTTACAAGGAACGTGAAACTGAAACATACAAAGTACAATCAACTCTGTTTATCCTTTTAACTTTYCATGAACATGTCTTTTATAAGTAAAATAAATCACTTTGTTTTAATATCAACATCAGCTGTCTTTACAAATTTACATTTTTAACTTTTGTTTATAATGGGTGCCCAACCAGTTGCTCGCGGGTGACTCGTCGCCCACCAGCTGGTTCCCAGGTGCCTGCGAAGCGCAACCTTGCTCTTACAGCTGAAGAGCCGGCTCATCAGCTGTTAGAGCAAGGTTGCGCTCCGGTCGGGACTCATGTCCACTCGCTGAGAGCTCCAGCAGAAGCGGTGGAGGTGGGAGGAGTTTACATTCCAGCCTTGAACACGCTCCCTCCGAGATGGGGAGCCGTGAAACAAGCAGCACTCCGAACACGATATCACGAGACTTAGGGTCACGTGTTCTAAAACAAAGCGGAGTAATATGAGTTGTTGGTTACTAGTGCGGGAAAAAATGGATGAAAAACGAGCGGAAAGGAAACAAAAAGTTTTTATTTTCACCCGGAGAGGGAGGAGGACTATTTTTTTGTTAAGTGCYGCAGCTGTAAAAATAAGCTTGCAGGACTGCAATCAATTTTCACTCAGCCCAGCACAAGGTAAGGCTGCCTGCTACAATAGCCTCATGATCTTGGCTCAACACAAAGTCTTTCGGCGATGGAGAAGTTATGAAAAAAGTGTTTATTGAGGCTGCAGAAGCACTTTTTCGTGTTAAAAATAAAAGTGAGATCGTGGCTTCTATTAAAGACATGCAGTTGTCCAGACAAACTGTGACACAGCATGTGAGGGAACAGCTGTGGATGTGAGGACCAGCTAAAAAAAAGGACGTCAAACAGAGTGTTTCTTCAGTTTGATGAGTCGACCAACATGGTAGATGTGGCCCAGCTGTGACATGTTTTTATCAGAATGCCCTTTGCAGACAGGAGTGCAAAAGAGGAGCTGCTCACCAGGTACTCACAAGAGAAGATATTTTTAATGCTTTTATGGAGATTGTTAATAAAAGCAACTTGCCCCTCTATAAACTCATTTCCATAACAACTGATGGCACTCCAGCAATGACCGGACACACTCTGCAAGCAGAATGACATTTTCCCAGAACTGCTGCTGCACAGGAAAATCCCACAAAAGGTAAAGAAATTTATTTTTATATAGCCTGCATAAAAAGTTGTGTCCTTGTTACTCTTTTTATTACATTTTAGACCAAACTAGTGTGTTATAAACCGACTGGCACCTCTGTGTTATTTATTTATTTTGCAGTTTGGGTGTGCCTTTGCTTTCTGTACCTAACATGGCTGTGTGTGTCTTGTTTATAGGTGGTGAACAGGTGGAACTCTTTGAATGGTCTGGAGCCGGCAGTCTGGACTAGTGAGGAACTGAGCTCTTCAGCACCTGCAGATGACACCATCCTGCATGCTGCAGACTGAGGTTTGAAATAGTTGTTGGAGATTTGTGAATCTGCACCATCGTAAGTCACTTTTTGTAATAGTATAAACGAGAGAGTTTTATTTTGTTTTTCCTCCCCTGTATGAAGAGAAGAGAGGGGAGTTCTTTGAATAAACGGAGACGAGTTCGACTTCCTGTCGAAATCCGAGGATGCATCCGTGTATCCTCACCAGCTGAGGATATCCCAGGATTCAATGCGCTGGGGGCAAAATAAACAGAGAAACAAAGACGGAGGAGTTTTTTTTATGTTTTTTTAACGGTAGAACGTAGTTAAGTAGCGTAGTTTGGAAATTCATCACGGACCGAAGGATTTGCTTTTGAAAGTTAGTTTAGCAGCTTAGCTGATGAAATTTACATTGCAATAAGATGTTAAATAAAAAAAATGCAACTACAAGTTACGAGAATAAAGTCATAATATTACTAGATTAAAGTTATAATATTATGAGAATAAAATCATAATATTACAAGAATAAAGTCAAGTGTTACGAGAAATAAGTCAATATTCTAGCCTTTACACAAAAAAGCATGCAGTTATAACTACATTAAAATGAGGAATGTTGAGCAAATTGTCAAGTTGTTTTTTAGTATTGCTTAAAATAAATAGTTAATCTTTTAGCACATCAGCATCAAATTATCAGCAGCAGGGCTTGTAAATTGTGCAAACGACTATTGTAATTAATGGATGCATTGACAGATTTAGTCGTCATGTAGCTAGTTTGGATGAAATCATATTAATCTAACAGTGATCCAGGTCATCACGGACTACTTTATAAACAGACACACGGCTGTACACAGCGGGTGTGAGGAAAATAAGGAGGAAATGAACGGAAAATGTAAGATCATCATGTAAGATCATGACTTTTTATCCCGTAATATTACGACTTTATTCTCATTATATTATAACTTTATTTTCGTAATAATAATTTAAAAAATATGTGTGGCCCTAATACTATGTTGTAGATACTGGAGCTAAACCTGAATTATTAATGTTGATTTATTTATTTATTTATTTACGTTTAACATTTTAACTGTGAAGTTATTCTTTTAGTAAAAAAGATGTGTAAATACATGTTCCAATGCATTTTAAGTCCGACATGAAACTGATCACTATGGTAATGGGGGAGCGCGTGGTCACACAAACCCACGTGAAGCTGACGTCGGGCGAAGGGTAGACAGTCTCATTTCACAGCAGTTTTGAGCAGCCTACCCGGCCCAGCGAGGATGTGGCCCACGTGGCCCAGCTAGGCTGGGTCCTCATGAGGACCCAGCCCATGAATTGAGGCAGAGTGTGACAACTTCCTGTTACAAGCTTAAGTGTTTCTTAAAGTGACAGCGCCGTTTACTGAGACTTAAAAACTAGGCTTTTAACAAAGCAAAATTAACATTAAACTTGCTTGTAACAACAAATGCCCGTTAATCACTAATTTATTAAAATCAGGTGTGAAACATTTAAAAATGTAGTATAGTGATTCTCGAGGACCAGGATTAGGGACCACAGTTTGATATGAATATTAAAAACTATACAATATAAAACAGATAAGTCACGTAAAGGTTGATTTTAAAATAGTATTTCCAGGAAGTGCTATAAAATTGATCTCAATTGTTTCTTTTTGCCAACAAATATCTTTAGTACTAATGCAAATTTTAATATTTTTATTGCCAAAAACAGTGACTGTATAAACTATTAACACTTTTTTTGTTTTACAAAGATGAAGTTAAATCTAAATTTACTGTTCATCTTTTTGGGTTGTCTTTGGTTGTGTTTGTCTTTCGTGGCGGGGATCACCTTTTAGTTGGGTTGAGGGTTTGAGCCTGTCACCATGCTGAAGTGTCAAATAAAGCAGTTGCCCTCAAAGCTCCAATCAGGACCCCACTGTGTGTCAAAACTCCAAGGTCCTTAGGTGATCTCCACAAATCAAAATAAATCTAAAAACAATATTACTTGTGGCATATTTTCACCATAATTATTACAAAACATTGAAAAGAGTATAATAAAATAAAGTTGAGGTGGTGTGTGTTGTCATTGGATCCTTGTTAAGCAGAGTTCTTAGCAAACTTTTCATCCATAGACTGGTCCRATTTGTGGTCACAAAACTCGTCTATCCAGGGTATCTGCAGGTATTAGCAAGTCAAATTTAAGACTTTTTAAGACCTTTTTAGTACCATCTTGAATGAAATTTAAGACAGAAAATATGAGGGATGGTTCTGCAGAGACAGCCGGGGGAGACAGAGAACTTTAATCGCTTCTGCCCAACAAAATGTAAGACCTTTGAGTGACAAATTTAAGACCAACTTGCACATTTTTAACAAATTTAAGACTTTTTAAGGTCTTAATTTTAGATATGTGAATTTAAGGCTTTTTAAGACTTTTTAAGGACCCGCGGACACCCTACTATTGTTATTTAGTGGGTTTAAATCTGTAAGGTTTGAAAACCACTGAGATAAAGGCTTAGAAAGATTATGTGATTTTGAGATTAAGAGAATTTAAAATGATGAGATAAGATTTCTAGAGGATGACAATCATCAGAATCAGTTTATAACCAAACAACTGAACGTTAAAACATGATACGAAGAGTACAAAAGAAATGATAAAGCCTTTACCTGATAGCTATTGGGATCTGGATAAGCCAGTGGAGACCTAAAACACAAGACAATAACTTGTTTAGAAAATCTAGAATATGATTCCCTTCAAGGATATGAGTCATTCAAGATAGAGGCAATGTCACACTATGATGTTTTAGACAACTTATGCCAACTTATGAACATTTAAAAGACATCTACGTTGAAGATGGAATAGAAAAAAATCTAATGGAAGCCTCTTTTAGGCCTGTACATACTGTAGTTCTAAAAAACTGGTCAAATATGTAACTTTTATTAGAAATTTAGACATAAAAAATGTTTCATACGTTGGCATACGTTGTCTAGTGTGACAGGGCCTTGTTTCACATTCTGTCAGAGTGAACAGGAAAAACTTTTCTCACTGTATGAAGGCCAGTGCCTTGCTTATCTCCTCTTTTCGTTTTTCTCGGGTAGAGTCCTCCATTGTGGTCGTCCACTGCTTGTAGAGATGCAGAGATATCAGAAACAAAAACACTCATTATGTTGGTAGCTGCTGAAAGACAAACAACTCCTTTGAAGGGCTGCATGATTGGGRTMCACAAAATATTGCAATTTTATCGTTATCGCGATAACAGCCAGTGCAATATGCATTTAGTAAAAAATACATAAATTCCAATAAATGATTGGCTCCAGCATTTGCATTGATGTAGTTTGTCAGCATCAGTCTGATTAGGGCTGCGCAGTATATGCGGTAGACGGTAGAAACGGTATGAAGTTGGCCTAGGGTAGAAATTTATACTCTACCATCCTATCGTCATTACATCATCGCACCTGTGTGTCAAATGTTTTGATTAAAATATTATCAGTAAAAACCTCAAATCATGTCCTTTCTGATCAGCATTAGAACTCTAGAAGAACTTTAACTTTGCAGAGTTTCCCCTAGGATTATTTTTAACCGTGGTGGTGACATCTCATGCAGGGGGGTTTGACAAAATCTGGTTGTCCTCAAAACATTTTAGTTGTCCAAAAAATCTCAATAAAATATAATTTAATAAGTAGGCTATCTTGTTCTGTATACAAAGTTTACTAAATGTTCTCAGTCAGCAGGTTGACAGTTTTAGGAGCTGCTTGAGGAGAACTTCTTCGTTCTCCTCCTCATCCTCTTCTTCGAAATAGAGAGCAAAAATCAACATCCAAGCTTTCTGCTGCAGATCAAACATTTTTATTCAAATAGGAGTAAACTGTGTACATGACCTTATTAAAAGTTAGTTTAGTGTTCTTAGGACTAAAGACTTTATGAGGAAAGAAGTTTTTAAACATCTTTTCTATCATTTTAGTGTTTTCAACTGAGGAGCTTTGATAAATTTGTTTTAAATATATTATAGCAGAGGAAGTTCTCTGCACAGAAAAAAATTATTTATTTTTACTGTTTTTTAACCAAACTGACAAGTTTCTCCAGTGAAATTGTGTAATTTAAAGGCATTGAAACACCTGGTTAAATTTAGAAGGTATTATGATTAACTACAAGCACCTGAAGCTGACTCAGAACTCTGTGATTTTAGAAAAAAATCACCTCCACCCCACCCACGTGTGATTAAATCTGATTTTATTTGCCCCAATTACAGATTTTGATGCTCATTATACACGTAACCGTCTGAAGGGGTTGACATACAGTATATGAACTCTTAAGTCCCGGGCTGGTCGGAGCTGCGCTGCAGGTGGACAGGTGCAGCTGTATGCCGCTGCACCTAGCTTAAAAAACAGTCAGCTGATCTGTCGCAGTTTTGTTGCGCTCGTGACGTGAACACACAGGGGAAATGCTGCGATGTGCTTTTAGAAATATAATATATATAAAATACGACGCAATCCTTGGTGGAAAATAGTCCAGGTAACGCTGAGGTCTTTCCCGGGAGGTGTTCACCTGCAGCTGAGTGAAACTGACCACCCCACCCACAGAGAAAGAAAAAAAGGCAGTAATTATTGATAAGGTAAGCATGCTGTGGCTTCACCTGTRGCATTTTCTTTTAAAAAAAGAAAAAGTAGCTTGCACAGCTGTCGCATCGGTGCTACGTGATTAAAAAGTTTTCATCTCACGTCAATCACACACACGTCTTCCTATCTTTGTGAGGACCACATACAGCGCTCACAGCCTCGCTCTGCGCTGTCTTTTTCCCCCCAAGTTTGGCGAGAGGTGGATATAGAGGTAAGAAAAAAATAGATCTCGACTTGATCTGGCCTTATTTAAATAAAAATTACTTGCCATGAAATTTTTAGAGAGGCGGGCCGTCTCGTTGGCGGTGGGCCCCACCCCCCTTGTATAATGGTAGGGGAAACGCTGAACACTGTATATTTAATTATTTATTTATTTATCGCAAGTCATATTGTCATCGCAATATTATCGCACTGTTATCACACATCGCAGGATTTCTTGATATCATGCAGTCCTACTGCATGATATTAGGAAAACCTGCAATGTGCAATAATATTGTGTGGATGATGATGATATGATTTACAATAAATGAACAAATACTTAAGTATGCTGTGTTGATGTCTTTCTGATTGTGGGTTGAGAGCAAAAAAAACTAATACATCATTTCCACAACTTCACAGTTTTATTTTTAAAAAGTACAACTAGACACAGCTGTGTGGTTCTGGATAGGAGTTGAGTGAAATTATCAACATTCTATCAGATGTATTTTCATACTGATATTGATCAAGTCTATCGCAATATATACTGTATCTTATTGAGTTATCGGCCAGTACCTAATTATGGCCAATGTTCTCAGATCTCAAAAATATTGAGAGTAAAGCCTGGTGCAGCAGGTACAGTTTTCCTGATTTACCTTTATAAATCGTTGACAGATTGGATTAAAACAAATCTGTTAAATATATCATATAGGGGACAAACACAGTGATATTTGAGAACTGAAATCAAGTTTATATGATTTACAGAAAGTGTGCAATAATTGGTTGGGCGAGTGCATAAGTTTGGACACCAAAAAAAAAAAACCCTTAACTCAATATTTAGTAGATCCTCCTTTTGCAGAAATGACAGCCTCTAAACGCTTCCTACAGCTTCTAATGAGAGTCTGGATTGTGGCTGAAGGTATTTTAGACCATTCTTCTTTACAAAACATCTCTAGTTCATTCAGGTTTGATGGTCTCTGAGCATGGAC